TTATTAAACTTAAATTAAATTATATAAAAAAATTAAAGTAAAGAAACTACACAACAAAACAAGAACTTTTAAATAGTTAATTTGATATTAATATCAATATTTTTTTTTAACTTTTTAAAGATGTCTTCAAATTTATATTTTATGCAAAAATAAAAACATTCTTGTTTTTCTCGAAACCACATAAAACCGTATTATAACATCGGCAAGGAACATAATAAAACGAAATATTAAAAAGTCGAGACGTATCTCGCTGCATTGCGCGAGTACCTTTCTAGTTATATTATAAAACACTTGACAAAAACTCTTTAAAACCATTGTTTATGCAATAAGTATTGTTTATTGATACATATTACATAAAGTTCAATATTTTAAGTAAACTGTACGTATGTATAACTTATTAAAGCTCCATGTTTGAATTCGTATAACTAACTGCAAATAAACATAATTAAATAATGATTTGTATCTCATTTTAAATATAAAAAATTTAAAATATATTTAGGATTATCAATAAATTTTAACAAAATACTAAAAAAATATTATTAAACTAAAAATAAATTACTTCATTATTAAATCTAAATTATATTATAATAAAAAATTAAATTATATAAATTAAATAAAAAACAAAAACTTTTAAATATTTAATTTAATATTTTATTTTTCAAAATTTTATAATATATATTTTATTTTAGTATTACATAAAATCGTATTATGATATTAATATAAATATAATAAAATAAATTATTAAAATCGAGATGGTTACGTTAAAATGTGACCAGCGAGAGTCCCCCCAACATTGACCTTGATTGGCCGGCTACTCCTCTCCTATCGTCCCATCCTACCTACCTACCACCCCCACCAACCCCTCTGGTATGTTGCATTTCTACTTTCTAAAACCCTATTTTATTCCGCAGATCTACATCAACCTTTGTTCTTGATTTGTGTACGTGCAGGGCGTATCTGGCGGATAAATTTGAGGTAAGGTTTCTTTGATATTGTTCTGAAAATTTACGATGTTATTAAGTGAATTAGTCGGTTTATTGAAATAGATGATTTTGATTTGTAATTATGGTTTCGATGGAAGTTGGAACCATAAAAAGGGAAAAAAAATCAATTTTGATTCGTAATTCATGAGCATGGATATGGTATTAGGTTGAAATGCATTGCATAGAATGAATGAAAGATGGACCCCATGCCTCTTTCTATGCATTTTTGCTTCCATCCCCTGCAAAAAAAAAGTTGACACTTGATTTCTTAGCTTAAATGAGGTTCAAAACTTGATGATATTTGACTTGGTTGTAGTTTTAACATAGTTATTTCATTGAACTATTACAGAAATTGCTATGATAGTAGATCTTTTGAATAGTGACACCAAAATCCATTCATACGAATTCAAAATTGAAATAAAAGATTCGAATTTCCAAAATCCATTCATAGGAATTAATAGTAGATCTTAAAATTGGTAATCTCGTAGGCGAATGAGTTTCAGTAATGTGTACATGCTGTGTTTGTGGATGCTTATTGCCACCCAAAAGGTACAAGATGGAAATCATACAGAATAGAATTGGAGGTTCATATATTGGAAAATTTCTCTGTGATCCCTGTTTCATAGATTGGTTAGCACAAAAGCCCAAGGGGTTACATATGGCAATATAGGTGATGCATTGATGAATGTAATTCCGTACACACTTATTTGATTTTTGCACAAAGCCATGATACAATTTTTGAGACTATAAGCGATCATATATGTAACACAAGAGATTTTGAGTCACAAGACCTTATTTCTTAAAAGTTTGAAGTTTTTCTTTTTGTTTGTTGCAATACGCTACATGTGCTTGTTTGTTTTCTATGTGTTTCATATCATAGTGGACGAAAGTAATAAGTGCACACAATTCCTTCCTAGTATGTTGTACCTGCATAATCATTAAAACATGTTCAATAACTCAGCCATAACTCATACTTTTGCATATAACTTATAGCTTCATGAGGTTATTTGTTGCCATGTGATTACAATTATTTATTTATATAATTTTCTATAAGAATGTTTCCATTTAGTTTAGAAATGGTAATGGACAAGAAACAGCATATATTGTTTATGGAGAGCATAATTTTCTTACGATTCTTCTGAAACTAGATTCTATGAAACTGCTATAATATACCTTCTTATCGTATCATTAATGTTCTGTATTTTGGTGAGACATCTTGCAGATAAGATTGATCTCAGTAAATAAGAAGACCATTCAATTCTTCACCACCTAGCCGAGCAATGGATTTCTTGCAAGTGAAGGAGATCCAGGTCGGCCTTGCTGTTGCTGTTGTAGTTGTTGCTGCCACTGCAGCCTACTTTTATTCTTCGAAGAAAACCAAAGGTTTGTCAACAGACAACTTCAACAAGTTTTTTCTTAATCAGCCCTTTTAATGTATTTTACTGTCGAACAATTTAACTTGTGCAAAATTAATTTTTGAAGGTTTTAGTTTCCATGGTTTCCACCTGGATTGGTAATACTGAACAAGAAATTTCTGTGTCATCACCAGGGTGCATCGATCCTGAAAGTTTTAAGCAATTCAAGCTTGTGAAACGCACGCAGCTTAGCCATAATGTGGCCAAGTTCAGATTTGAGCTTCCTACACCTACTTCAGTGTTGGGACTTCCTATTGGGCAGCACATAAGTTGCAGGTATCTTATATTGGCATCTTCTTCACTGATAATCTGTATCAATCCTTTACCTGAAGAAAGAGACACTTTGACTTTTGACATTAATCATGTTACTTTTCAACTTCAGAACTGATCCGAGTTCTAAGAATGTTGAGAGAAAATGATGATCAAAATAAACTTTTTTGAAAAGCACTACAAATAGAAAATTATTGGTAATAAATCCATATCAAGTTTGTCAATGGGAAGTGCTATATTTGATCTCAAACGACAAAGTTTATCTTTGTTGTTCTTAAGTGGAGGGTGTTTAGGTTAGCTATCTGTTTCCTACAAGTATCTCATTGATGTGTTTGTTTTGTATTTCAGGGGTAAAGATAGCCAAGGAGAAGAGGTTATTAAGCCGTACACCCCAACCACCCTGGACACTGATGTGGGATACTTTGAGTTAGTTATTAAGGTACACATCAAGATTCCAATTAGTTGCATACACCTTCCATTTATTCGATCTATTCGTGTTTAATCTTCTAGTGTAAATGGTTATGATACTGTACATATATGTAGATGTACCCACAAGGTCGGATGTCCCACCACTTCCGAGAGATGCGTGAAGGTGACTATATGGCTGTAAAGGGACCTAAGGTATATGCACTCTCCAGCAATTGTAATTTCTTTAATCATCTATACTTTGTGTGGATTGTTAGCAAGACTGAATTTTTCATACTTTGAGTATGTCATTTCATTATTGCTTTTCTATATATTTATGTCCAAAGATATATGATGGAGTTTGCTAAGGCTATCTGGCTATGCCACAAGAAGTCATATTTCTGATTCCGAAATTTTATTTGTTGAAATGATCAATACTTGTGTGGTTGATTTCTAATTTTAGTTATCAATTTTTGTCCTAAAAAAATCAAATATATTCAAATCAATTTTGAAGTGAAGATGGTCCATTTGATTTCAAAAGTTACAGGGGACACTTGCTATAGAATGGATGGAGTGATAGGAAAGAAGAGAAAAAGCTTGAAAATTTCATATCCGAAAAGGAATTAGGCTTTTATTCATTTTAATCTCATAGTCTCCGTAACACCCAGTAAAAAGAGTAAAAAAGTCCCCGATATTTAGTGAAAAATGTAGATTATGTTTGACGATGATTTAATTTCCCTTACAAGTCCTCTGGAAGCAGTTTGTAATGGAGTTGTTTGGAAATTCTTGTGGATAAGCTAACTGAATTCTAATTAAATTTCCCTTAGTTGTTTGCTGCTCAACTGATATGGCTTATTACTGCTTCTAGATATGACGTTAACTAAAAACTCGTATAATTCCAGGGGCGCTTCAAGTATCAACCTGGCCAAGTGAGAGCGTTTGGAATGATTGCTGGGGGATCTGGAATCACGCCAATGTTTCAGGTGTTTATTTAATAGTGCATCTTATAAAGTCTGAGGCCTTTGCTTTTAAATAGGCTGGTTGTATATGAGGTAATATCACATTTTATTTTTTTGTGATTTTGATCTAGGTTGCTAGAGCTATACTAGAAAACCCAAAGGATAAGACCCAGGTGCATCTTGTCTACGCTAATGTCACATATGATGACATCCTTCTTAAGGTAAGAAAGTATGCTTGCCTTTCTATATTTACTATCTTGAGGCCATGTATCGTTGGCCATTTAGTACATGTTTTAGTTTTGCATGAATGAATGAATGGATATTGTGTTCACTTATTAAACCGAACAAAACCAAACAAACACAACATATCCTAACCCGGAGATGGGATCTGGTGGTAAGATGTACGTAAACCTGACCTCTACCAGTAGAGCGGCTGTTTCCATTAAGGGCCCTCTCCGGCTTGTGAAAAGTGTGAAAGAGAGGCAGATATGAATTTTTTTGGGGAAAAAACTAGTGAAGACTAAGCAATAGGATACAAATAGAAGCACATACAAATCATGGTCATTTATTGAATGTGAATATTAGTTAAACCTGGACCTGGTTCAGATTACTTGTTTCATTGTTTGTTTGATAGCAGAATAGATCCTAGACAAGCAATTGAAAGGTCCATACTGAATCTAAATATTGAATATGAGGTTAATGTTGGTCAATGTAACTGACTTGCTAATTAATTTTCAGGAAGAGCTGGATGGACTTATAAGTAATTACCCTGGCCGTTTCCATGTGTACTATGTACTGAATCAGGTATTGAGATAAAATTGGTGACTTGTGGTTGCTATTTTTGTTCTTGTGTTTCATTGGGCCTTGTGATGCAGTTGTGCTACAATTTTGTTTTTGGTAACCTTGGGTGTCCGGGCTAGCTTCCTTGCACCTTGACTAATCCCATAGGGCCCAGAAGTTAACGGTCATGCAAACCCTCCAGTATCCAGTGACCCTGAGGGGACTTGAACTAGTGACCTGGGAGCAAACCTAAGGTCTTATCAGTTGAGCTACCCCTGGGTAGTTGTGCTGCAATTTCTTGTTTCACTGTATCAATTCACAGTCACATTGCTGCTGCACACAGAATCACCAACACTGTCACAAACCCATCACCTTCCGCTGTTAGTTACACACTTTCTTGCTACAAACCCATCTCAAACCTTATAGTCTGGTATCAAATCTTCTGCCACCACTGCTGAAGCCTTGCAACCATTCTCTTTATATTTGTGCCTAGCCTTCCATCTATAGACTCTGCTAATGCTACACAATCCCATTGACTTGCTTTCTGTGACAAGTACAAGCATCAATGTTTTGGGGTTGATTGGGATTCTGACTTGGATCGACTTGTCTATAAGATATTAGGGCTGATGGGTTTTAGTTAAGAAATAGACCAACTTACACCTGTACCCTTTGTAATGTAGTGCTTAGTTTATTTATCATTCAAGACTCAAGTCAGGTTGTAACAAGATGAGTGGTTCAAGTGACTTAGGAGGCCCGACCATAGCTAAATGACCCTTGGTGTTTAAATAATTTTTGTTGCTAAAAACATCGTATTACTTTTCTTTCTTCACAATTTACTGCACTGTCTCATGGTAAGTGCAACACTTAATTACCAGACGATATTTTAAACTGCATTATATAATTACCTTCTAAAATCATGCGAAAAAAGGGACTAGTGCTCGTTTAAAGCTTCCCAGTATTTCAATAACAAAAAATAATCATGTCATGGACCGAGAAGTACATACATTTATCCTTGTAATAACGAGTATAGAAGGTTAATTAGGTCATTTTGCTAAGGTCTACGTAGGTATATCATATCCTCCCAAGACTCAACTTCGTGTGGGATTTACCGGGTTTTTTGGTTTGGTAGTTGCCAAGAGTATGAAATTTTGTTCTTCACTTTTCTTCTTTCCCAGCAAAGTAAAATTAAATATTCATGTTGCCTTGTAGAATGGTAAACCAAAAACCGAAACAAACTAACCCAACATATCCCACTCGGAGATGGGATCTGGGGAGGGTGGGATTCATGCATGCCTGTCATCTACCCCAAAAAGAGTAAATCTACATGTTATTTCCTGCAATCTATCTGCGAAGTTCATGTAAATCCCCTTTCTCTATGATTTTTTGGCAAATTTCTGATCTTCCATTTTAGGGCCTCACAAGAGTTGACGGCATCTAGATGGATTCAGACCGTAAGATCTGGTGTTTCATGCGTTTGGTATGAAGGACATGACAGGAAAAAAACTTGTTTTTTCCACATTTGGTGCGACATTAAGATTGAGACACGACATGATTGAGTGGGACAAAAATGCATTATTTTTGTTACACCGAATTAGATGCAACAAAAAGAAGGGAGATGAGACAAAATTGGTAAATTACTAAACTACCCGTGTCAAATTAAAACCCTAAAACCTTGCACAATTTTTTCACCTGCCTACCTCACTGTCCATCCATTCTGCATACCAAATGCACCCCGAGGCACTTAGTGACCCAACTAGGCCGAGCCGGGTTGTATACTTGTATAACCAGAAAGCTTGTTTTTCTACCGTTCTATATGTTTAAATTTTATTGTTTTATTCTGCTGTGAGTGATACCCATGCCGCTTTCTCTCCATCGATAAACAACCTACCTTCTTTATACTTTTGCAGCCACCAGAGGAATGGACTGGTGGTGTCGGTTTCGTATCAAAAGAAATGATCCAAGCCCATTGTCCCGCACCTGCATCCGATATCAAGGTATGATTCAAACATTTTGTCAACATTCCGGAGCTTCTTTACAATTCAAGTTGTATGAGCACGTTTTCGGGAAAAAAAGAAACGATAGAAAAGTAGACTTGAAATGATTCATTTTGATCGTGCAGATTCTAAGGTGCGGTCCACCTCCGATGAATAAGGCCATGGCTGGTCATCTAGACGCGTTGGGATATTCTTCAGAGATGCAATTTCAATTCTAACCCTTCCGAGAGGGCCTCCACATATCTGATTTATCGGCATTTTCTTTAGTTCATGCAGGAAAAAAAAAAAAACACAACCATTTGACACCCCACTTTGTGCTTCGAGTCTACGACTTAATGTTCAGTGTACTCTACTCGAATAAAGTTTTCCGATTGTTGAGTTGACCGTAAGAACACATAACGTACGTTTTTTTCGTGTCTTAACTGCTCTTTCGCAGCTCTCGTGGTCGTAGAGTCCATATTTAACTTGAGCTTTTTGTATAAGCACTCAAATGTTGTTTTTAAGGACAAAGTTGCACAAATATAGGGGAAGACTCGTATGATCGATTACAAAGCGAATCCATATTTGTTCTTGAAAGGTTCAGGTTTCTTTACTATTTTATCCGGTTAAGCCTATAATTTGATCGCTTGCATGACGAAACAATCGTGCATTTTGAGCGTAACGGTGTTCTAAGATGCACTAAATGAGGCATAATTAATCAAACACGTAGCGCTTGATGACTGCTAGAASGGGGTGATATAATATCCGTGTTTCGTTAACTCGTACAAATTGGGTTAAGAGAATTTTGGTAGAATTATGCATGATATATTTTTACCCATGCTTAACCAATTTGTACCCTAGACTAGTTTTACGTCAAAATGTGTTTATACCTATATTGACGTAAAGTTGGGAATTTAACTTGAAGGGTTAAAACCGCCAAACTTCTAACTTATTATATTTATCATATATATATATAGAGGGATGTTATTCTACACCATTTGCCATTCCTACACCTTATACAACCCTCATCTCAACCATTCAATTTTTAATCAATTAATTGTTTCCTAATATAAAGTATTAATCATAATTAATAAA